GAGAGACACTGAATGACTAACTGGCTTCCAGAACAAATCATCAGAATTGCAAACCAAAAAAACAAAAAGATGATGTCTAAAGGACTGTCTTTCAAGGTCAGGGAATTTCATTGCCTTTTTATACCCTCCACCATACATAGTATGGAGGGTATATTAAGTTCGTCATTCCGTTTGTAATTCATTGAAATAATAATTTTAGACATAACAAAGTATATATATTCTTGATCCGCGTAAAATTCTAAGGCGATTTAGCCCTGTCTGCCCGTCCATACGTGCGTTCATCTTTTGTAATCACGCTAAATCCAAACGAATAATGATACGAAGCTAAAATTTTGTACAGATCAGTATTTTGTCTGCAAGCAAGTTAAGTTCGAAGATGGGCTATATCGGTCCATGGTATCGTATAGGCCCTATATAACGGGACCCCCTCCCAATATTCGGTATTTTGATGATTGTAGCCAAATTTTTCAAGGAAATTGTCTGAAAATCCACAAAAGGAGTTCCTTTTGAGTACTTCACCCCCTGCAAGAGTATTGTCTATATAGGTCCACATCTTAGTATAGCACCTATACAACGGTACCTCCCTATATTCGGTATTTTGATGATTTTAGCTACATTTTTCAAAGGAATTGTCTAAAAATCCATGCTAGTAGCTCTTTCTAAGCACTTTACGCACTGGAAGAGAAAAGTCTATATAGGTCCACGATATCGTGTAGCTCATATACAACGTTACCCCCTGATATTCGATATTTTGACGATTTTGGGGACATTATTGATCGGAATTATTTCAAATTTCGTATTTAGAATTCGTAATGGGTACTACAGCATATGACAGAAAATTGCCTATGCATATCCAGGTCTTCGTATAGCCCCGATATAACGGTACCTCCCGATATTTGGTATTTTGATAATTTTAGCGACATTATTCACTCGTGTTGCTCAAATTTCTTATTGAGAATTCGTAATGGGTACTACAGCCTGTGACAGAAATTTGTCTATGCAGATCCAGGTCTTGGTATAGCCCCGATGATGATTTCAGCGACATTATTTACCGGAATTGTTTTAAATTTTGGCATTTGAATTTCGAAATGGATACTACAACCTGTGACAGAAAATTGTCTATGCATGTCCAGGTCGACACATAGGCCCCATATATCAGTACCTCCCAATATTCGGTATTTTGACGATTTTAGGTAGAAAATTAACCGAAACTGTTTGAAATTTCCTATTTGAAATTCCTAATAGGTACTACAGCCTGTGATAGAAAATTGCCCACGCAGGTTCAGGTCTTTGTATAGGCCCCATATATCAGGACCTCCCAATATTCGGTATTTTGACGATTTTAGGTACAAAATTAACTGAAATTGTTTGAAATTTCCTATTTGAAGTTCCTAATAGGTACTACAGCCTGTGTCAGAAAATTGTCTGTGCAGGTCCTGATCTTCGTATAGCCCCGATATAACGATACCTCCCTACAGGGCGGTCAAAGTCAAACGCCATAATTTTTACTTTTTTTTATTGAATGAAAGCAAAAATGTCGGAAATAGCATCAAATTTTAGAATAACTTTAGATTTGTTCGAATTGGTCACCTTTGGCACGAATTATGGCCTTCAAACGACCAATGAAACCGTCACACGCAGCCCGAATGTTGCTCTGCGGTATTTTGGTCCATTCCCGGGGAAGCGCTAGCTTGAGGTGATCGACACTTTGGTAGTTTTTAGTGCCAACCTTGCTTTCCAAAATTCTCCAGACACAATAGTGCAACGGATTGGTTTCCGGAGATTTTGGTGGCCATTGTGCGCTGGAAATGAAGCGAGGAACCTCATTTTGTAATCATTATTGGGTGGCGCGTGCTGAGTCCTGTTGGAATGTCCAAGGTCTGCGCCAATATGTATGCGTGCCAAAGGCTTTAATACACCCTCCAGAATATTTTCGCGACAATATTCGGCATTTATTCTGATGCCACGGTCGATTAATACGAACGGAGAGGGACCATCGGCTGTTATGGCGGCCCACACCATCGCTATGGTGTTCTAGTGGCCAACCGAAGGTGCACACTTTCAGCTGACTTCTTTGGCAAGTAAACACGATCCTTTTGTTTGTTTACAAAATGCAGGACAGCGAATGTTTTCTCATCGAAGAAAATCAAATTCGGCAGTTCACCACTTTCGGCCAAGCGAAGCAACTCTTTAGCTCTTTTGAGTCTATTTTTTCGGTTGCGGTGTAAGTTCTTGCACTTTTTGGAATTTCAATGGCTTACCCCGAGCTCATTTTTCAATATTTGCGAATGAAATATTGCGATATGTTCAGCTCACGAGCCATTTTTCGGCAACTGCGACGCGGGTTTCGATCAAGTCGCTTCTTCACTTTTCGAACCATTTCTGCTGATGTTGCTGTTTTCTTCCGTCCACTTCCTTGACGTCGGGCTACGCTACCAGTATCACGGTAACGAGCGATGGTACGAGACACAAAAGATTTATTCACATTTAAATGCTGGAGTGCTCTAACTATTGCCACTTGTGGTGTTCCAGCCAAATATAAAGAAATCACACTATCACGCAAGCATTCCATCACGAATAACTTTTTTTCTGGAAAATTCTCACCAAAATGCTTTTGTACGATTGTAAACAATATAATGATCTGTCACTGCAGTAATTTTAACAGCTGTCGGACGAGTGGCTTAGAAATGACAGCATCTGAAGTTGTTTGCAGTTTTTTCATCTCACTCTGTATAATTCCCATTAACATGACGAAAATTGGCAATTTGCAATAATACAGCCCGAAAACAAGACATTTTTAATTTATTCACCTTTTTATGAGTCAACGATGCCGGTAATTTAAAATTACCTTAATGATTTAAATTTACCTCGCAATTGAGGTTATAAAACATATAGACTTGTTAATGGTTAATTTTCATTTATTAATCGTACAAGCGGCAATTATAGAGAATTTCTATTTGATCACTTGCCCATAATAGGGGTCACGGGAAAATGGAGTCTATAAAACAGACAACATTAAATAATCATAATTTTTTAATTAATATTTAATAACCCACATTTAATGTTGCAAGGTTTTGTGTAATTAAAACCACTAGATATGGGTGTATCAGGACAAGCAATTATTCAAATCGTTTTAGATTTCATAATTACAACATACTTCGTAACAATGTGTGTGAGATTGGATCCAAGGTGAAATGATTAAATTTTTCTAGTAAAATACCTTCTGAATGCTAAGGAAATGGATCAAATTTTCAATTGAGAACACAGTAATTACGGGAAAATCCATCAAATTATGAAAGTAAGCAAAATGACGGGGTGATCTTCCCCTTTTTCCAATTTTTTTTACATTTTCGGTTTAATATTCTTTGGAATATTTACATTTTACGGTGCGAGTTGCCCCGTTTTCCACATTTTCTTTTTAATTTTCGGGTTAAGATTCCGTGGAATATTTACATTTTTCGTATATAGTGCCTTCGCCAATATATCTGACAACGAGGATTATTTTGGTCAGAAATTGTAACACTCAAGCCAATCAACCGAGGGGTCTTTTTGAACACCATTTACACGAGATCGTAACATGTCTAGTTGTTCTACAAATTGATTTGTCATGAAATTCTAATATGGGTCCCAGAACACTCTAAATCTTACCCAGAAATTCATAAATAACAAAAAAAATATTTTATTGTTAAAGCCGTACTTTATGTGAGTTTATGCAAAATTCTCCTAGAAGGCACAATTTTAAATGGATAACGTCAAAGACAAAGTTATTCTACATCAAATTTCACTATAAGTCACCAAGGAAAAGAAATCTCTATACCCATTATATAGCAGGAAAATTTTTGCATCAAGTTCCCAAAAAAAACTCAAAAATATTTCTTAATGTTTTTTTTTCATAAATTTTCCTAGGCCTTTTTTCGAGTTGATGCTGGAAAGTAGCATAGAATTTGTTAAAAGAATGTGTTAAAAGAAGAAATATTCAACACAACATTTCATTAAAAATCTCAGAATGAACCATATATCTAGGTTTAATAGTTTTTCAGAAAATTGCTTTCCAAATATAGATATTAAATGTGAAAATTATGTGTTCGAGTTTAAAAAAAAATAATAACTGCATAATTTACTGCACAGAAATGAAAAGGATAACCCAATTTTGCTCCAACTTTTCAAATCCTAATATTTGCGTCAGTGCTAGGTCAGGTGCGAAAATGGACAATATCGGTCCACTCCATCAAGTACCTCCCCCACAAAGGGTCACAATTTTGAATAATTATATCTCTAATAAAATTTGATGTAAGAGTCCGATTGTCTTCAAATAACACATATCACAATATTGTTATTAAGCCAAAATCGGGTGTGAAAAAAGAATATATCGGTCCACTCCTTCTGGTACCTCTGGTCAACATTTTGAATATCCATGAAGCTCAAAAAAACGAAATTAATATCCGATCTCATTCAGATTTGTCACAGCTCAATATTTCTATCAACACAAGATCTGTTATAAAGATGTTAGAGATCCGACCATTAATTCTGGTACCTCCCCCACAAAAGGCCAACGTTTTAAATAACCAAAACGATTATGAAATCTGAAATAAGCATCCGGTTCTCTTCATATTTCACACACCCTATTATTTCTACGAACACAAAATCTGCTGTGAAAATGGGATATATCGGCGTAGAACTTCTAGCACTTCCCCCTCAAAGGATCAAAACTTTGAATATCCATGAAGCTCAATGAAACGCAAAATTAACATCTGATTCCATTCAAATTTGGCATATGTCAATGTTTCTATCAACACAAGACCTGTTATTAAGGTGATAGAGATCGTACCATTTCTTCTGGTACCTCTATTTTTAGGTTCCATAACAGCTGCTGATACTAAACATTAAAAAACATATTTTCCTTTACCCATTTTGCATGATCCCTTTTATAACTTTTTTCTACGTTCATTTTGTTTTTAAACAAAAATAATTGCTTTCTTTTCATTTTCTCCTCTTTACAGTTACATAGAACAAGATCGTGTCTGCGGCTTCTGGACATGGTTATTTGTACTCTCCAAACTACCCGAATTGGGCGATACCATCTTCATTGTGTTGCGTAAACAGCCGCTGATCTTCTTGCACTGGTATCATCACATCACGGTGCTCATCTATTCGTGGTTCTCCTACACCGAATATACCTCATCGGCCCGCTGGTTTATTGTCATGAATTACTGCGTGCACTCCGTCATGTATTCATACTATGCCCTGAAGGCGGCCCGTTTCAATCCACCACGTTTCATTGCCATGATCATTACATCACTGCAGCTGACCCAAATGATAATTGGCTGTGCCATCAATGTGTGGGCCCATGGTTTCCTCAAGACCCATGGACCACAGTCCTGTAACATTTCACAGACCAACATTAATCTGTCGATTGCCATGTATTTCAGTTATTTTGTATTGTTTGCCCGTTTCTTCTACAAGGCCTATTTGTCACCCGATGGCAAGAGCCGGCGCATGGCTGCATCCTTGGTGGCCCAGAATTCGGCCAAATTGCGGCCCACAACAAACACCACTAGCAACAGCAGCAAACCTTTGGTATCAACGAACGCCGAAAACGATGTTCATTTGCGTAAAACAAAAGTCCAATAAATTAACCCTACAAATATACCTACAATTCAGGGGATATTGTTTTTTTTTAATTTAATTGTCATTTTTTTAATTTTCATTTAACTGTAATAATTTAGAAATCCTAAAGAACAACAACACAAAATAGAACAAAAAACATAAAACCAAAAAAGCAACCTACAGTCGTTGTCGATGTCTGCTCTAAATCGAAATACAAAAATTAAAACAAAACCAACAACAACAAAATGAAATTTTACCTATTGCAACTATTTGAGAAACAAAAATAGTCATATTATATGTTTGAATTATATACAAGTCTATATTTTACTATAAACTATTCTTCAAATAACAACAAAATGCTAAACAATTATGAAATTAAATTAGAAATTTGTAAAATTAAAAAGGAAAGGAATCGATGTAAAGGACAGTTTAAAAAAAGGAAAAAAAAAATAGTTGTATTCAAATCCAAATTATGTTGGAATCTGCAAAAGAAGAATTTTTGAAGCTATTATATAATTTCAGTTTATTGCCGCCAAATGGAGCTTCTTTTCAAAGGCAATTTTTTATGTAATTGCCTTTGTAAAAAAATATTAAGCATACGAGGCATATAGAAGACCTAGCTTCCCAAAGAATATTCCATGACTTGTCTTTATAGATAGATAATATTGTCTTCATTAATAATAAATATTTTTTTTTAATTTCTAATTAAAAATAATAATTTCCCATTCAATGTAAATCTAATAAATTATATATATGATCATAGCAATCAGAGCATATTAAGTAAATTACTCGAACATTTCTTCTTCGAACTGGTGTGACACTACCTACTTTAGGACACTTTCCACATCGTGTTACAGATATGTAGCGTGATTTTTTAACATTTTGCAATAACCCATCTTCTAATTGTCTTTAAAGAACGCCCATAAAATTTGAAACTTAAACGAAAGGCTTTACTTAATAATATATATTTTGTACAATGCTTTGTAATATAAATATGTTAGTTATATTTATTTATATAACTTTTGCCATTAATATATTAATACATACCATACAATGAAGCTTTTCCCTACATATACCAAATTGTGTGAAGCGCCTTAAAGTATGTTATAAAAATGCATAGCATAAATGTGGCTTTACACATTACTTTATATGTTTGGAGTTTGGAGTCAAATGTAAAGTGACATTTTCAATAGTTCTCTTTGGCATTTTTATGGCATACTTTTCCACGCTTCCCGGAGTTTTTTTTATCTAAAAAGATACGCCTTCTATAGTATATATCAATATAAAAATACTAAAAGTATAGAATAAATAAATTGCAAATGCTTCTATAATAACGTATAGTTTATATAGTACATACCTATTTATAATCATGGTACAATAAGGAGGTAGAACTGATTCGTAAAACTACAGAAATACAGCCCTGAGGCTATGCCCGCTTCTGGTCAGAATTATTCAATTTTATATGCAACAAGTTGTTTTCATTTATTTCATATTTTTTTTGTTGATTTTTAAATTAAGTCAAATAGCACGAAAGATGAATGAAATAGCTGTATGTTCTCTCAATCTTCCAATGCCATGGCAAGTCTGGTTAATATCATTAATGTGCGCCCTGCAATTTAAGTTTCTTCCATTCAGTGAATTTGAAAAAAAAATTTTTTTTCCAAACAATAAATACATACACAAAATTCGCAGGAGTCGGGCAGACTTAGAAAAAAAAATTGTAATCAGCTGGCAGCTCTACCTTACCTTTTTATTGTACCGTGCTTATAAGTTTAAAAATTGTTGAGAGTTCCTTAGAGTATGTTATAAAAATGCAATATAAAATATGAAAAAGACACTTTATGTAATCGGACCTTTAATATGCCTTATGCTAGGGTTATAAAGTTATTAGTATATAGTAATATTATCAATATCCATATGAGTTTTTGGTCACGTCTTAAATATATTGTCAAGTAATGATTGTTATTTCATTCAGTGCAAAATTTAGTTTCAATCAAACTCTGAAAATGACTTTGTTGCAAAAAATGTTCAGTCCAGTTGCTCAATTCTTGTTCTATGAAAATATAAAATGAAGACATGGTCTATATAAGGTCGTCCAGTAAGTCCATCGGACAACTAAAAGACATATTTGTGATTTGAAATTCGAAGAAAGTCAACTCACAATAGTCTAAAACCTACTTGGGCGAACTTATATAGGCCTTGATGAACACTTTTGTAAAGGAAAGTTGCGTCAAATGGAAAAATTGTGAAGAGAAAATGTTTGTATTTACGATTAGAACAAGAATCCGGCTCCAATACGAGTGGCAAAAAACTTAAAAAATATCTAAAACTGAAAAAATTAGCTGTTATTATTTTCAAAATATCCAAAATCATATAAAAAAATTGAATACAATTCCAACCCAGAAAGCCCAAACGGCTTCCAAAGTATTTTTCTTTTTTTTTTTTTAATCTGTCCTTTACATTCAGATTTTGTAATTTCCACAAACAACAACAATAAATATTGTAAAACAACAACCAACTGAAAGATAAAAAGTTCATATATTTTTTAATAGAAAACCAAATTACGACAAAGAATTTGTATGAAAATTGAAAAATATATATATACAAAGACTAATGTGAATTGTTTGCAAATGCAAAAAAAATAACAACAGCAAATTTTTAACAAACAAGCTAAATTAAAAATTTCCCACACATCACATGCCAGGGTTAAATCCAAAGTAAAAGCAAACAATAACCCAGCAGACAACAAAAAAACCAAGTAAATATTAAAAATAAAACTTAATATTTTATATTTTGTTTTGCATTAGCAAACAACTAATTAAACAATTGCAACACAAAAAAATATTGTATTTAACTCTTACTTAGAATTGTCAATGTAAATCACCAATGCAAATAACCACCTCTCTAAACCTAACCTCAAAACCATCTCCTCGCGAAAACAAGTTAAATGTCAACAACAACAAAAAATGTTGTCGTCACATCTGAATGGGATTGACACCTTTGTTTTTTTAAGATTCTCCATAAGATCTAGTCACAATTGGCATTATTACAAAAAAAGTACAAAATAGAATCTAATAATTCACAAAACAAAGAAGGATTTTCGATCTTGCAATATCAGCAGATATGACTGACAAAATGTTAAAGTTTGTTCTTATTTTGTTGCCAACAAAAAAACGCATATAGCATTTTGTATACTACCCACTATAGCTGTCATATTGACAGTTAAAAAGTGAAAATGTTTAAGTTTTCCTTAAATCGCACAGCCGTTTTGAATGTAATTTTTGTTGCAAGGGGGGGGCACTAACTAGGTTAATACACAGCTCAATGTTTGTTCCATTACCAGAAACCTATGTACTATTGTGCCCTACAACACGAGGTGGTCACGGTATTATTTTTTTGAGCATTTGTTTGTAACAGGCAAAAGGAAACGAGATAGACCCATAGTTCCTTTTGATAATCTGCATAGAATTATCAGCCGACTTGTTGAATTTGGCCCACCCAGCCGTAATATGGATTCCGTAGTAACGATATTTTGGGGAAATATATCAAATACAGCTCAGAAATACCTTTATCAAATTTTATCGAGATCGGTTCAGATTTGCATATAGATGGGAGCTATATCTTTATCCGATTTCAAGTTATTTGTACACCAAATGGGCAATACAAACCCGAATTGAAAAGGCACAAATGCCTTGGCAAAATTTACTAGAAATCGATTTAGAGGAGGATATTCCTCTCATATATTAGTTCCTTTGGACTTTAAATTATAACTATAATCATAGTTGGTATGATTTAATTCTCACAAATTCCCCATAAAAACTTTTATTTGTTAGGTGAAGCTCTACTAAATATGCAAAGTGGTGTAGGGTATCTAAAGTCCGCCCCGCCCGACTTTAAGACCTTCTTTTGGTTTTGATATTATGTATCGGGTTTCGTAAGAAAATGTTTTGATTATCTTAAGTTTTGCAACAAAACCAATCAAATATCCATGATTTCGATAAATATTATGTATTTCTTTCTAGATAATGTGTTGCTATAATAAATGGTATTCGGATATATTATTTGTTTTCCAATAGGAAAAAATATCCGAAAACGGGCCGTCTGTAGAAAATTATTTCCGGCTATAGTTTTGCTGCAAAAAAAATATAAAATTACTTTTTTAATATTTTTTATGGAAAACTATCTGCAGACCCAGCTTGACTTATTTTAGGATAAAACATTGGTATTTTAAAATAGGTATGTGTCCAAATTCCATGTCCTTATTTAAATAAATGTAACACTTAGGAGACCCATATAGATCGGTAATTAAAAAACTTAGAAAAAATACCCTGTTGGCAGTTGGAAAATGTGGGAACGAAACTAATTTTAAAATGCACAATTAGAGGAGATGGTTGCCGGTTCAAAAAAAAGAAAAATAATTCGAACCAATCGAATTAAAAATATTTTGTTTACTGGTTTTTTGTATTTATTCAAATTTCAAGAAGAAAAAAGAAAACAACATAAATAACTCTAAATTGTTAAATTTATAGAAAAAAGAAACGCAATATCTAGGCATTTGATAAAAAGACAACATTTTCAAAATAACAAAATGCTTAACTATATTGTGTACATCATTAAAGTTTTTTGTAAAAAAAAACAAAACTAATTGAAAGAACAAAAAAAAACAAATTAAATTCATTTTATAAAACAAAAAAACCCAATTTGTTAAAAAATAACAACTACAAAAAAATAGGAAAATAGAAAACGGAAACTGTTCAAAAATATATACAAAAAGAAAATTTGCTTTTACTTAACTTCTGATATTGTCTCAATTAAAACTTGAAGCAAAACATATTGCTATGGCTTCTTGCAATATTCAATTAATGATTTTTGTTTATTAAACAATACGAAAAAAAACAACAATATTACTAGTTCAATTATTGCTTACTTCCTTTTTTATTATTACGCTTGGTTTGGTTTTGTTTCTTTTTACTTTTTTGTAATTTTTTGTTAAAATATTCCATTTCTATTGGTTTCTTTCTTTCATAACCACAGAATTACATGAAATGCATTTTCTCTCTCTCTCTCTCTTTCTCTCTCTGTTTATAATTATTTATACAATGGTATTTTCTTACTATGTATTTGTATACATAAACCATATTCCACATACTATATGAAATATATACACATATTTTACTTATTTCCTTCTCTAATTGCTATCATACATACAGACATAAGTGTTTAGGGCGAAGGTTCAAATTCGTTAATAGAGAAACAAAAAGTGTATGGTGTTTTTATTTCTTCTTATTTCATGAAAAATAAGAAATATTATTTAAAAATCGTATTTATAATTATAGTTTTTAAGCCTAGAATCTGTATATTTTTTATTTAATTAATTGTTGAATGAAATGCGCAAATATTTTATATTGTTTTTTTTTCGGATCAATGAAATAAATGAACAAAAACTTACAAAACATACAAAAGTAAACTTAAAATGTGTTTAAATATTTATTTCTATTTTTTTTCTATGGAAATTTAAAGCTGAGTCCCAATCATTCAGAAGGTAGACCAATTGTATTTCCGTCCATACGGATGCAAGCTCAAAGATGGTTAAGGGAAAATATTTTGCTATAATATACAGCTAGAATTCTGAAATTTGGAATGAGGAGCGCTGTAAGTGTACTAAAATTACTGCAAAGCTCAAAATTTTTACCTAGGGTTGATATAAGGAGGACGTTGCTAGTTGTACGAAAAGTACTAAATTTGGTATTAAGGTTATGAAAAGAACTGGAATTATGCACGTTGGTATTAAGATTACTGAGAACTCGAAGCGTTTAGCTTTTTGGAAAAGAGTACTAAATGGTACAGAGTATAGGAATAGAGCTGGAAATTTGAAGTTCGGTACAAGGTTCCACAAATAGTGTGAACGATTTTGTCATGTTTTTCTATACCCTCAGTCATATGGCTAGAAAGGGAATATATCATTTGATATGGCCAAAGCGTGCCTCATCGACCCTAGGTCCCTAGACCCTAGGTCTCTTTAGACCAAATCTGTTTCACGATATTTGGAGTCGATCTGGCGATGTCCATCCGTCTGTCTGGCTGACTGACTCTTGAAGGGAGTATCCGATTTGATCTAAACTTGGTACAGCGTAATATTATCGTCAAACTAAGATTGAGTTCGGAGACGGGCAATATCGCTCCAATCCTTCTGGTACCTCCCCCACAAAATGTCAACATTTTCAAAGAAAATAATTTACTGCACAGACAGAGAAAAGATCCACTCCATCAAGTACATCTCCCATAAACGGTAAAAATGTTAAATAATTATAATTATATAAAGTTCGGGCCATATCTTTTGGTACCTGTTCCACATAGGGTTCAAGACTTTGCAAAAGCAAATGCTCAAAGAAAGCGAAATAAGAATTTAACTATTTTCAAATTTCACACATACAAACGTATTTGGTAACACAAGATCTGTTGTGAAGATGATATATATTTGCGAACCCCTTCTGATACCTCACCCTCGAGGTGTCATCACAATTTTCAACACTTCTATTTGTCATAACTTGCGAATCAAGTCAGCGATTCTTTGCAACTTGCTCTATCTAAATATTTCTCTCAACCAGAAACCTAAGATGAATATGGAATTTATGATTTCGCATAAAATTGGAGATAAATGTTCGATTTTCTTTTAATTGTGCCCATACCAATATTTTTATCTTGTGATAATAGAATACTTCTGTCGACTATATTTCCCATGGTAAACTTAAGGAGGTAAAGTCATTTCAGATAAGACAATCCATCTTTGCATTTTCTGTAATTTACCTTGTCAAATTTTACTGAATAAACCAGTAAAGAAAGTCTTAAAGTCGGGCGGGGCCAACTTTATGACACCCTACACCACTTTGCTAATTTAGTAGAGCTCCGCATAACAATTAAAAGTTTTTATGGGAGAATTCAATCATACACGCCATGATTATAATTAAAAGTTCAATGGACTAAATATGCCGAAGCATTTTTATCTTTTAAATTCGGACTTGTATTGTCCATTTGGTGCACAATTAATTTGAAATCGGATAAAGTTATATATGGGAGCTATATCCAAATCTGAACGGACCTCGATAAAATTTATCAAATGTCTTTCTGAGCTGTATTTGATATATTTCCCCAAATATTGTTGTTGGAGAGTGCATGTTACGGCTGCGGAGAACAAAAATAACAAATCGGATGAAGAATATATATGGGAGCTATAGCTATATCTGAACCGATTTCGATCAAATATACTTATTTTCAGGCCTAATTTGGTTGTATGTGCAAAATTCCATACTATTCGGGCTGATATTACACGTTTGGTGCACAATAAAAGGCAAATCGGACGAAGATATATATGGGAGCTATATCTAAATTTTGACCGACTATTTCCAATTTCAATAGGGTTCGTCCTTGGACCAAACAAATGATTTGTGGAAAATTTCATCTGGATTGGGCAATAAATGCGAACTGTACTTTGTTTACAAAAATACATGGACAGACGGACGGACGGAAATCGACTCAGAATGTGATTATATGCAGATCATCAAAAGGAACTATGGGCCTATCTCGTTTCCTTTTGCCTGTTACAAACAAATGCACAAAGACATAATACCATGAGCACCTTGTGATGTATGGTATAGAACAGGTTCCAATCTCTGATATCTGTGGATTTATAAATATGAATTTTGACAATTAGATGTTGTCAAATGAATAATAAAAAAAAATTGTAAACATGACTTTACCTTCTTCATTCTACCATGAGTTTTCCTAAGATTTTTATAATAAAAGTATATTGTGAAGTGTAAAGACTGACATCAAACGTATTTTTAGACACTTGGAATCGGGAAAACGCTAATATTGGGGATATATCAAAAAGTGTGCCGATATGAACACTAATTTTTACTAACTATTCTAGATATGATCAAAAGATATCTATCAAATTTCTCTATCTTAAATTTTGCGAAATATAGAGAAAAAAAATATATAGAAAACCCTTTATTTACGGACATAAGGCTATACGCAAAAAGGAACTCAAAGAGAATCTGAGAAGCCAAAAACCATTTGGACTTTTGATCTACTAACCATAACTATCACCGCCACTTGGTATATACGTATTAGTATATATATTCTTCACCAGAATAAGATTCTATGCCGAATTAATACCGGATTCTACAATTCATTCAATTCATACCGGATTCTACAGCCAGAAGATGGTCTATGCTGATCCAGGTCTTCATATAGCCCCTAAATATCTGTACCTCCCTATATTCGGCATTTTTAAGGTTTTAGCTACATTATTTACCGGAATTGTTAAAATTTAGTATTTGCACTTCGTAATGGGTTCTACAGCCTTTGACAGAAAGTTGCAGGTCCACGTCTTCGTATAGACCCCAAAATAACTTTAACTCTCTATTTATGATATATTTAAGATTTTAACAGAAGTTATAACGATTTTTATTTTATTTATTTATTTTTTCTTTTGAAAATTTCCAAATTTTTTCCAAATGGTGGAGGGTATTTAAAGTTTCACTTGTTTGTTTTTTTTTTTTTTTTTTTTTGATATCTTCTTTATAAAAATGAATTTGTAAGAGAACTTTTTTCCTTTGGTTGGGATATGACTTCCAATTTGAAGACGTTAAATTTAGAATAATTTTTAAATTTTACTGTGATTTTATTTGACTGCCTTGAAGATATGGACCTTGTGGTTTTGGGTAATACGTCTCTACGGAATATTTTAAAATAGAGGGAAGGTTTTAACCACTTTTTTGAAAAAGGGATCAAAAAACACCTTTGGTAAACCAGTAGTCCAAAACGTGACAAAAATCGAAAACCTGTATGCAACAAACTGTAACATTTAAACTTTAAATATTCTCTTAATATATCAAATTTCCATTTCCCAGAAATTATTTATATTTTAACTGCATTCAAAATAACCCCTTCAAGTTCTTTTTTCTTTAGCGTGTTGATAGTGTTCTGTTAAAAGAGGTTGAGTTCTACTTCCTTGACCATTCCAGCCCACTCTCAAACGTTTTCCCATAATAACGAAAAAGGTGTGTGGATAACGAAAAATATGGTTTCAGCTGCATACATTTAGATTTGTAGTTAATTCTCGCTTTCAAAATGTCACTTAAATGTTTAAAATACGTCAAATGTGGTATTACCTTTCTTGATTTGGGAGGTAAATCAAACAGTTGTACTTTTTTGCCCAAAATCATAAGTTGTATCTAAATCTGTTGAAAATATTTGTCAAAAGCGTGAAAATCCCTTAAATTGGTGGTGGGAGCTATGCCAAATGTAGAACACCATTAAGAACACCACCAATTTGACTAAAATATTCAAATTTGTTCAAGTCGGATGCGACTAAAAACCGGTCTACTTTCACAATTTTTTGGTTACATCATTCTTCTCTCAATACGAAGCTTCACCAAAAAAATTAGATCGATTAGTTGTATAAAAACATCTTTGCCACCCCTTCACATACATGTGGGCCATTTTGTTACATTCAATGAATATGTGAAGCCTTTTCTATGGGGGAGCGAAAAAAAAAATAAGCAGAATCATCAGATTATTGGAAAAAAAGTACACATGATTAGGGACTATTATTTTTTTTTAATAAATTTACAAAATTTCCCAGCTTGATTGACCCAATTTAAAAGACAGCTTCATCATAGAAATATTTTTGTTTTATATTTAAACACATAAAACTCATTAATATCGAAATAGTTAATTGGATACTTAAAATGACTACATATTTCGTGTGCAATTGGCAAATAAATCCCAAGATAAAAAGTAAACCATTAATATTTTTATTGTTTTTTTTTTTTAATTTCTTTATGTATTTAATTTTAAAAAAATATTAAACGATAGTAGAAACATCTCCATTACGGGCTGATAAAATACAACACATCAAAGGAGAATCACTAAAAATACAATAATTTTAAGTTTTTGGTTGGTGATGACGATGATGATATTGTTTGGATTTCAGAAACACATATGTGTACGGTTATTACATTTATAAGGAATTTATAATTGCGTCTATGTAGTATTCTTAATAATGGTTGCTTGTTGCTGCACACATACATATTGAATGGCAAAAAATGTAAACTGCATTTGAAAGATTTCAGTAACATAGGTAATAGATATATATTATATAAACATATTCTAGATTCTATGTTCAGACCTGCTCTGTTTCCCTTTTTTTCCTAAAATGGTTGTGGCTGTATTCTTAAGCTGGATCAAGTCTATGAAAACTAAAACAAACTAAGACAAATCAGAAATCAGGCTATATCAATAATAGCAACCATTAACATGGCGTTTTATTGGATTAGTTAATGAATTCAAACTTTGCATTCACAGTCCATCATCTAATTGTTGTTGTTGTTATTTTTTGTTTGAAGAAGCTACGGCCTCCCGATAGATTATTTGCGCTTTTTGCTGCTGCTGTTAGCAGAAGTAGTAGTAGCATTGTGAGAAAATGAATTGTTGTTTGTCGCAGTACTGGTTGCCATCAGTTGCTGATGTTGTGACTTAGTAATATCATTCGATTTGTTCTTTACCTTGGCAACTGCAACGCCATTCCCACCACTATTACCACCGCCGCTGCCAGTCGTACAAGCAGCGGTGGTAGCATTTTCTCACTTTTTACCGGGAGGCGCCAAGGGTTGGCCGCGATCCTTTCCCCGCAATTTGATACCAATCACACGTTCAATTTTGCCAAGAATCATATTATTGGGAATACCGCGTCCAGCCTCATAGTCGGTAACAATTTGTTGTTTTTCGCAAATTTTCTGTTAAGTCAAATATTAAATAGATTAGAAGAATGTATTTATTGTTGGTATAGACTGAAAAAAAAAAACTTACGGTAGCGAGATCTTTTTGACTTAAGCCCTTAGCTTGACGCCCTTGCATTATGAGTTTGCCAACTTCTAGTGGAATTTTATCATGCTTCAACTCTTCCGTTTCACGGTCCAATTTGGCAGTGTTCTTTGTTGTAACATGCTGTTTGTTGGTGCCAGCACCATCTGGAAAACAAAAGATCAATGATTAATAATTTTATAGTTAACGAGATTGTACAAACAAATCTCTACTTTAGAAACTGGGAAACGATTACTGATTGAAGATTTCAATCGATTTTTTGGAAAATAATGAGTAAAACTTAAACTGAGCCAGTAAAGAAAGTCTTAAAGCCTAAATTAGCCGAGGAATTTGTGCCTTTTAGTTCGGGCTTGTATTACCCATTTAACCATTAACTTGAAATTGGATAAAGATATGTATTCAATATATATGTATACAAATCTTAACCGATCTCGATAAAATTTGCCAAGGGTATTTCTGAGCTGATATATTGATATATTTCCACGAATATCGTGGTTACAGAATGCTTATTACGGCTACGGAGGACATATTCAACAAATCGGATGAACAATGAATTTGAGAGTTATAGTTATATATTAACCGGTTTTCATTAAATTTGACATACTTCCATCCCATTTGGGCTAATATTACACGTTTGGTACACAGTAAAAAGCAAATCGGACGAAGATAAATATGGGAGCTATATCCAAATCTGAACCGATCTCGATAAAATTTGGCAGAGTTATTTCTGATCTATATTTGATATATTTCCCAAAATATCGTTGTTACAGAGTGCTTATTACGGCTGCGGAGGACAAAAATAACAAATCGGATAAACAATATATATGGCAGCTATAGCTATATCTGATCCGATTTCTTTCCTTCAAGTGGTGGTATGTGCCAAAATCCATACTATTTGGTTTGCTATTACACGTTTGGTCCACAATAAAGGCAAATCGGACGAAGATATATATGGGAGCTATATCTAAATATTGAACGATTATCTCCAACGGGCCCTATTGAGTCCGTCTCTGAGGCAAATAAATGATTTGTGAAAATTTTCATCTGGATCGGGCAATAAATGCGACTTTGTTTACAAAAAATACAGGGTGAGATGAAAGAACTTCAACCAACTTCACACTGTTGTCATTTTGAAGCCACTCGTCCGACAGTTGTTAAAATTATTCCAGTGACAGCTCATTATATTGTTTACAAGCCTAGAAAAGCATTTTGGAGAATTTTCCAGAAAAAAATTTATTCGTGATGGATTTCAAGCGTGATAGTGTGAGTTCTTTATATTTGGCTGGAAAACCACTCCGTTAGAGCACTCCAGCATTTAAAAGTGAATAAATCTTTTGTGTCTCGTACCATCCCTTGTTACCATGATACTGGTAGCGTAGCCCGTCGTCAAGGAAGTGAAGGAAGAAAACAGCAACATTAGCAGAAATGGTTCGAAAAGTAAAGAAGCGACCCGTGAGCTGAACATATCGCAACATTTCATTCGGCAAATATTGAAAAATGAGCTCGGGGGTAAAGCCATTGCAACTCCAATGCAAGAACTGATACCCCAACAGAAAGAAAATAGACTCAAAAGAGCTAAAGAGTTGCTTCACTTGGCCGAAAGTGGTGAACTGCCAAATTTGGTTTTATCCGATTAGAAAATATTCGTTATCCAGCAGTTTGTAAACAAACAAAATAATCGTGTTGCCACAGAGGTCAGCGGAAAATGTGCACCTTCGGTTGGCCACCAGAACTCAAGCGCTGGTCATGGTGATGGTGTGGGCCGCCATAACAGCCGATGGTCGCTTCCGCTCGTATTAATCAACCGTGGCATAAGAATACATGCCGAATATGATAGCGAAAATATTCTGAAGTGTGTATTAAAGCCTTGGGCACGCAAACATTTTGGCCGCAGACAATGGACATTCCTACAGGACTCAGCACCATAGCACTTAGCACGCGCCACCCAAGAATGGTTACAACATGAATTTCCTCGCTTGCACAATGGCCACCAAAATCTCCTGATACCAATCCGTTGGTGTCTGGAGTATTTCGGAAGCAAGGTTGGCACTAAAAAATACCAAAGTGTCGATCACCTCAAGCAGGCGCTTCGCAGGGAATGGGCCAAAATGCAACAGAGCAGAGATGTATATATCTAAATATTGACCGATTATCTCCAATTTCAATTGGGTTCGTCCTTGGGTCAAATAAATGATTTGTGCAAAATTTCATCTCGACTGGGAATGTGGTTCTATGCAGATCATCAAAAGGATCAATCTCATTACCTTTTGCCTGTTACAAACAAATGCACAAAGACATAATACCCTGACTACCTTGTGGTGAAGTGTATAAAAACGACTAGTTCTTAATTTGTCTTCTCTTGATGGAGAATTTCCCGTATAGAATTCAACTAAAATCATAAACAGGGCCCCATAAACAAATAATATTTCCCGTATAGTTGGAACCCTCAAATTTCTAGAACTATTAAGGTCAATTTTTTATACACAATTGGTCTGGTCCCGAAAGTGCTGGAATCTACCAGATTTTGGAAATTTCCGATATCAAAATGGAAAAATCAGTTATCATAGTAAAAATGTTTCTTTCTTGCAGTTTTGGAACAGAACATGTAAAAAGATGAGAGTGTGCAAGAATGAAAGAAGTCATGGTTATAAGTACTAAAAGGAATACTTTTATTTAAAGCAGTGCTTGCTTTTACAGCCTTTAACAAAACGATGGGTCTATTTATCTATGACGATACGAAAACGAATGCGAAAGAAAAGCAAAATTTTTTCCTGGATAATTTACAAGCAAAGTTGCAGGTTCTGAAATGGGGGGGGGGATCTTTCGCATTCGCATTTGTTTTGTTAAAGAGAAACAGAACAATAGTTTTGTCATAAGTAGTAAAAACTACTTTCAATTAAAATGTTTCCTTTTTAACACAGAAACAGCCCCTATACTTTATTGCAACTGAAATAAATGTCAATAGGTGAGCCTTCACCATCTACACTTTACCGGCAAAAAGAAACTAACAACACACATGTGCTTTCTAGCCATCCATCTAACTATGAGACATCGATACCAAATCAACTGCAAAAACAATAACAAACATCTACTATCTTAAATAAACACCGACGTGTATGTGTGACATTCGGTGAGGAAATCAGGTACTGGAGCAGTCATTTTAAAAAACATAAATACTGCAAAACTTCCTCTATATGATGAAATTAAAAGGGGGTCATCCGGCGGCTAAAGTAAGAAATAACCTAATTATTTATATTGCAACCAATCACCTCTATCACTGTGCAATGCATTTTCAAACATAACCTATACAATTCAGAGAAAAAAAACTGAAAATATAAAATTTACTTACATTTCTGTGTAGTTTCCACAGCTTGTCCCTGCCGACGGGCATTATTGATTGCTGACTCCGATTTAAGAACAGAAGCCTTGGGAGCTTTCTTTCTTATTACTGTAACTGTATCCCAGTCCGACATGTCTACTCTTTTTTATAATTCTTACGATACTATAAAATGAAAAAGAAAACAGTATGTACACAAAATAAATGTCAGTCTCCTTTAAAGTTATATTTATCACTATATTATATTTATCACTATTGTGTTATGTTTTCTTACAATTTGTAGTATTTATAGTCTAAAATGTATATGTTAAATATTTTCTTTTTCCAGAAGAATCCAAAACTTTAGTCTTCAATGTGTTATTTTCTATTCACAGTTGTTAATAATAGCACTAATGTGGGAAAACATATTAGTGTTGCCAACTATGAATTGAAAATATACCGCAAGAGTTAGCACGGAAAGTATGCGTATCGTATGGCTATGTTTACATCTAGCGTTTGGTATGAATAGTGCCGTATACAAAACTTTGAGTGACATTTTTATAGTGTATTTGCTAAGCCTTATAAAAACAAGTAGAACTCTCAATTGCATTGATTATACACAGAATGAAATCGTTTAAAATTTTTGCAAAATTATACGTTTGACAAAATTAATATTCATGAAACCAATGTACACAAATTAGAGATGAGTATGGTTGAACTAAACCAAGGTAACCTCATTAAAAAAAATTACATCTGACTTTTTTTTGATATTCATATATCCATTTTATTACACAAATCAAAAAGAGAAACCTATTATTTGACTGGATGCAATGGATATACCATGGTAGAAGAATTCAGGTAGTCGCAAATTTGAAATTGAAGATTTTGAATAAAAAATTAATCAAATTAGTAAAATGTGTTGTAAAATGCAAATTATAACAACCTCCAATTTGTGTTGTATAAGAAAATAATAATAAATAATAAAAATTAAAAAAAAAAAACAAGTAAAAAAGCAGTGAGTTCGACCGGTCCGAACATTGAATACCCTCTACCATGGTACAATAAGGAATTAGAATAGCTTCGTAAAACTACAGAAATAGTGTCAGACTCATTCAAAATTATATACAACAAGTTGTTTCCATTTTTTTTAATATTTTTCCTCATTTTTAAAATGAGTTAAAATAACGTGAAAAATGGATAAAATGCCTGGATTTTCTCTCAAAAATAACATTTCAATGTTCCTTAGCGTAGATACATCTACCAGAATTCTTTTACCATGTGATATACGAATATACATTTTGACAATGACATGTAGTAAATTGCAGATATATGATAGCACAACATTATATTTTTAATTTTGCCATGAGGAACAGTTTTGGTATACAATAAATTTGACGAGGTAAATTACAGATAATGCAGAGCTGAATGTGCTTATTTAATAAAAGAATGCCTTTTTTAGTTACACCACGATTGTCAGCTTCCAAATGACTGAAATGCTTCACTGTTTAAAGATCTCGGTAAACCTTGTTATTAGAGTGTAATTTGAAATCGGTTGGTACCGCAGCTTATTCAGCTGCCATCCGAATAATACTCCAATGATACAACAATACAACTCAGTTCGTGGTGGAATAATCTGTCAAAGTATATTCGAAAATCTATTTTGAACGAAAAATTTCTCATATTAGTTAAAACTGTTCAAAAATACACAACGTAAGTATCTCAGAATAACGTTGTATAAAAAATCTGAAATTGTGCTTTTTTGCAGATAATTTTTAATATTTTTGACAAATGTTCAGACGACAACAAATCTGACGTATTGCCAAACCACTGTTGTATGCTTTTAAACTTCACATTGTTGCTACGAATATTATCAACCGTGTGTTATCACAATTGATTGCATTGCGGTTATTCATACATTCAGTCCCTTTTCATTGCAATTTTGAATTGTTTTGCTGCTTTCAAGGTAGATGTACTAGGTAATCGCATCAGCCCAGCTGACGGCACCATTAAATGTCAAAACAAATTGTTGTAATGAAGAATTCGCCCTAAATGAATGCAACAACAAATTTGTTTATGTTGTCTTCCCTAAAAGTACCTTTTTATAATATTTCAAATAATTTAAGAGCAAGTTTAGAGTGAAACAAGTAAAAAAAAATTAAAAGAAAATGAAGGAAGGAGGTTAGAATGGAGCGCAGCTTTAAGAATTAGGTTAGCCTCAACATCTAAGATTCCCAAAGCACATCACGGGAAGTAATGCAAGAATTCGACTCTTGTCATTTGCAGTTCCAGAAAACTTTCGGTTTAAACCAGTAAAATATAGTCATTATAAGTTTATTGGCTTAAAAAATATCGCAATACTACAATTAATACTTATTTTACTCTTATTTGTTTTACAATAAAAACTTTATTGCGAAGTTCGTTTACGACGAGAGGCACACAAAATAAAATGTAAACAAACACCTCGTTTCTGATTGGTTGAAACAAATTTGCCGCAACCTTTAAATGTCATGGCGAATCTATGTTTTTCGCCTTAGATGTCAATTTTGACATTTGAGGGGACCACAAAAGTTGCTTTGTTGTAGCAATTCGCCGATGCGGTTACCTGTTAGATCTACCTTGGCTGCTTTTCTTGTTTCAATTGTTTTACATAAAATATCCAGACAATAATGGCAGATGCCGCCAAGGATACAGAGACTACAGATGAAGGATCAGAGTTATCTGTTGTTGCAGCCAACTGCCAAAAAGCGGCAGCCCAGCCCAACGTTATACCCGGCGAAAAACTGAGTTCCATAGAAGAAATAGTGCAAAATGACCCAGACTGCTACGAATTGGATTTAAATCATCATCGTATTGAAAAACTCGAGCATTTGGAACCATTGAAGAACATTGAGCGTTTGGGTTTCCGTTGGAATTTAATTAAGAAGATTGAAAATCTGGATACATTAACAACACTCGTTGAATTGGAGTTTTACGACAATCAATTGACAAAAATTGAGAATCTTGATGCTTTGGTCAATCTGCAGATACTGGACCTAAGCTTTAATCGCATAACAAAAATTGAAAATTTGGATAAATTAACTAAACTGGAGAAATTGTTTTTGGTTGCCAATAAAATCAGCCAAATCGAAAACATTGAAATGTTGACAAATCTGAATATGCTTGAGCTGGGAGACAATAAAATTAGGCGCATTGAAAATCTCGATGCCCTGGTAAATTTACGTCAATTATTTTTGGGTAAAAACAAAATAGCCAAAATTGAAAACCTTGATAAACTAACAAATTTGGAAATTCTGAGTCTTCAAGCGAACCGTATTGTAAAAATTGAAAACTTGGAAAAGCTGGAAAATTTATCAGAATTGTATCTTTCCGAGAATGGTGTAGAGAAGATCGAAAATTTAGAATCCAATAAACAATTGGACACATTGGATTTGGCCAAAAATCGTTTAAAGACCATTGACAACATATCGTGTTTGGAGCAATTGGAAGAACTGTGGGTGAACGACAACGCCATAGATGATTGGAAAAATGTGGAAATCCTGAAAGAAAACAAATCATTGAAAACGGTATATTTGGAACACAATCCCATAGCTAAGGATGTCATGTACCGGCCTAAGTTGAAAGATATTGCGCAATGGCTACAAAAAATTGACGCAACATTGTGCCGATAAATAACGCTAACAGAGCTACATATTTCGTCATTTTTCATTATCTATAAACAATGTTTGTTCATCCATACATCATAGGTTCTCAAAAGAATTAAAATAAAATGAATGTTAATTGTGATTTTGTTGTTTTCACGTATTTGACATTAATAAATGGATATAACAATAAAAATACAAGAGATATGTTAAATAAATTGAAATGAGGGGGAATTCCAGAATGCGATCTACTCAGTTAAACTGGTGAAATCATATAAATAATATCAAAAAACTTACTACGTCCAGGAAAAAATTAGTTTAGAAGTGTTTTAAAATCGTTTGCCTACATCAATCCATAATTTTTGAATAACCACCTCAAGGAAACATTCATTTCAATCAAAACCATTTCCATTCTACTACTACTGCTGTAGACATGAAAGCTTTTTGAAACGGGTGGTTTTGCAAAACAATGTTTAGTCCCACGTGCCAAGTGTGTCGCTTACCTCTCCCAATGAATTATTTTATCTTAGTTACCAAGCCTATTTCCATTGGCTGTGGGTTTAAAATTACACGTACTGAAAAGTTCATATTTTGCAGTCAATTATAATCGGCCATCTTTCCTTTTTGTCCTAAGTAGTGCAGGTTCCATAAATCCCATTAAGCTATTACTTTTCTTATCCACACCAATCCTAAATGGTACCAAGTGTATTTTTGTAAAAATTATTTTTATTGTGGTTCGTATAAATGACATAGATGAGTAGAAAATCATATTATATTTTAAATACTGAATATGTGAATGATCTGTAAATTATGGTGGGTGAGTGTAATCTACGGATATGCTGTATAGTTTATGGATTATTTGATTTTTATAAATTACTTATAGTAAAGAATAGAAAAAGTATAAAAACAAAAGAGGAAAACTAATTTGTCAAGCTTTTTATATTACTTTATTGCAATTAAGAAACCTATTTATAACATAAAAGTCTTAAAGAAAATGATGTTTTGTTTGTATTACAAAAACACTCTTGCATGATTTGATCAAAAATGTCAAAAGTAAAAAAGAAATAAATTTCATAAAGGCATCATTACACCGACAAACATATTATAATAACGAAAGTAAAGAATTAAACGCATAAATATGGAACACAAATGTTGACAGCATATGTAAACGAATAGAATATAACTTATAGTTTATCGGGGCCGCTGTTGTGTTTCTACATATGTTTGTCACCGTTCAAAGTATTGAATATTCCTGGAGAAGGATGATGTACATTACTCTTTTTTTTTTTTGTTTTCCAATAAAATTAAATAAAAATTTTGAGATTTAATTTGAAGAATTACTAGAAGGACCCTCAGTTTTGGCCGTTGATGAAGGTGATGACTTTCCAGCAGCTTCCTCTTTGTTGGAAGAAGCACCAGTTGATGAACTTGGCGAAGCATTTGCTGCTGCAGCACCTGCTGCTGTAGTCGCCGCTGAAACACCTATGGAAGGTGAAACTAGTGAATAGACAAACAATGGAACAAAAAAAAAAAAAACCAAAATATAAAAATAAAACACAAAATTTGCAAATGTGACCACTTACCACGGACGTCAATGGCGTAGCAATCATCAAGTCTTAGATCATGTTTTTTTATCAACTGACATTCAGCACCTTCAACCGAAGGGATGGAATATACATACAAATATCCATCCTGGGAAGCAATCAAAAGCCTATAAATATGGCCACATATAATATAAGTGACAGGACAGGAAAATTATGGAGTGATTTATTTTCTTGAGCTCGGAGTAATAAAAAAAATAAGCTCTTTCTCTAGACCAGTACTCACCTCAACTGTTTTTGTATTTTTGCTATGGCACACATACGCCTTATACCCGCTTCGGGTAAAGTCACAGAAGCAAATGCACGACCTTGGCTAAAGACGTCCGTCACTTGTGTTGGCAAATAGTTGGAAACAGTTTTGCTGAGGAATCTAAAAAACGAGTAACTTTTTTGAAATATGGAAACGCGAAATTAAATCGTGTAATGGTGTATGTATGGTGGACATGGTAGCGTTAAAAGTTACACAATATATATGTACATTGACCAGATTATGTTTGTTTACACAGTTACAGTGCAAGGATAAAGTGCATAGTACGAAAAATATATAGAAATAGCGGTATGAATATATCGGTGGTGGATTTGTTGAAATGTATGGCACAATACAACATTGGTAAATATGAAAAAGATAGAAAAGAAAATTATAGAAAATAAATAATTAATTTAAAGAATATGAAAATAATACAAAGATAGATAATATGAAATTAAATATACACAGAAAACCAAAATATTCTAAGAACATGACTTAAGCAACAAATAGTATAAATCCAAAACGTTGTATTAAATGGCTGTAAACAAATATATTGTGAGGTGTTTAAACAGATAGATAGATGGAAAAACAAAAGTATTTAGAAAATAAAGCAAGCCACGACAGGGAAACTACTAATTTCGAGGCTATACACACACACGCTAGATATGGGCAAAAATTTACATACCCCATCCAATCATCTGAAGCTTGTTTAGTATCATTACTGTCCGCGGAACTACGATCCAATCGAAAGATGTGTATTGTTTCAGTATTTGAACTGGAAACTAGATATTCAGCACATGTACTAAACGATAGCGATGCAATCGAAACGCAACGTTTAAGGCCTCGTCTTAATTCAAATAACTTTGTTCCATCTAACGACGAAAACACTCGTATAACCGTACCGCGTTCACTTGCCGTAGCAATTTCTGTTCCCGAAGGACTAAAAGCCAATGCCGCCAATGGACTGTCATGGGCTGGTATCATTGTTTTCGCATGCAAGTTAATGGCATCAAAAATCTGCACTTCGCCCGAAGTTACACTGCCCGGATAGGCAAGATAGCAGTGATCCGAAGAAGAGCTTAAAGCACATAGGCCCGTTGAATTACATGGAGTATCACGAATGGTATGCACGACTTTCATATCCTGTATATTGTGTATGTAAAGACTTTCTTCGAGGCAAACAATTAAACGGGCCCGATTAAGTTTAACAGCCAATATGGAATTTGAATACGAATAGTTACATATTTCACTTTGTTTTTTGAAATGGCAGACCTACAAAAACATGGTAATTATTTTTCTCGCCTTGATGATTTTATTAACAACATACCTTGAGTTTTCTTGGAGTTCGTTGAGAAACAATAGCCACCAACGAACTTTCAAAAAGTCGTTCAATGAGAAAAATTTCTTCTGTTGGGCAAGTGTAAATTTTATCCAGAGTATTATCAACAGAACCAAGACTATATAGACTATATCCAGACTTAGTGCCAACCGCTAGAGAACTAAAAGAAATGATATAAAACAAATGTTATTTCTTGTATAACTTTTAGTTAAACGACTTACGTTATATTTTGATTGAAATTAACAAAGACCTCACCAGCATCCATGTCTGGTCTAAAAAGTAGACTCATCATCGAAAGCAACTATTTTGGAACAAAAGCTTTTGTTTTGGGACTTGAATGATTCTAATTATTCGATTGTCTGAAATTATATAAAAATATAAATTAAACAATTTAATAAGGGCTAGTACATATACAATAATAAATTACAACTCTTGAAGTTAAGTTTCGAAGTATTATTACAAATATATCCATGTATTATCGTGTTTGAAGTACATATTTATCGTAGCTATCCAGTTTTCCATGAAAATAAGAAACTTTTTTTAAAATTATATGCTTACAGGCTTTATTAGTTAGAAAATTTGAAAACTCTCTAATTCCCCAACTTTTGCATCGTCCAAAAAATGTTTATATATAGAATTATACATTGTGTATTCAACAGATTGCATTACACGAACATGGGCTCATATGAAGTAATAAACATAAAACGTATGAGTCTAAAGTTTACACCATGGAAATATGAAAAACCCCACTTTTGTAAAAATACAGTGATTATCTCCAACCACCTTTAATGTTTCACTTAATACAAATAGTCCTAGATTTGTTTTTTGTCCACCCAGTCACACCACTACAATGAAAACAAAATGTCATTATTCTTTGTGTTGCATTCCTACAATACATCATTGTCTTTCAATTGGCTCAGTACACTTTCACAAACTGCATTAATGATTTTTTTTTGCAATACGAATTCTAATTTCCAAAATTGAAACAACGAAAAATATGCAGAATAACAACAACACTTAGGCTAGACATACTGAAGAAATAAAAGCAATTGGAAATACAATAATAACAAAAGCAAACTGATATGAAAAAGGAACAACAAAATCAAATATTCATATTCGTGTCTCATCCATACGCAACACTTACCACAAAATAAAGGCAAAACAATGGGTACGTTATGTTGGCTGCTTTGCAGAAGATTTTTCCAAGATCGAATTCTATTATTTTTGCTTATTTTTATTCCCAAAATTATGGAATTTTCTTAATGAAATTGTTGAAATTATATTAAAATTCAAGTTATGTTGTTTTCTAAAAGGCGCAGTTGAAATTGTTTTGTATCTCTCTCAATTTATAGGGGTATATAAGACGACATTTGTCCAAAGGCAAATAGGTGTTGCCAACCAATTCCATGGCTTATAGACCTTTTATATCAGAAAAAACAACGTCTTTATATATTATTGATAAAACATCAACTACAAGGTTGTTGATCAATATTGAAGGTCTTCCTGTATTTTGACATTAAATTTGGTAGTCGTCTGGCTTTGACGGGGGACCATGGGTCATGACATGGCAGAAAAATTCAGGTAGACGCAGCGGCTGGGAAATGAACTGTCAAACCGACTTTGATGCATCTACCAATGCTACGTACCATGGTAGAAGAATATAGGAGGACGCATCGACGCAGCTGCCGGGACAATGAACTGTCAAACAAATTTTGGAATTGAAAATGTTGAATGAAAAATTATTTAAATTTGTAAAAAGTGTTGAAAAATGCATGTCTTTACAACCCACGATTTGTGTCGTATAAGGAAACATACAAAAATCTACTTATATTTGAAAAGAAATTTAAAAATTGTTGTGTTTTTCTACCATGCTACGTACGTTGAGCATTGTTACTCGTTGACGGTAACGGGTTTATTGATTATTATATTAGCCCCCACCGATTATCTCGGCTCAAATTGGCTAAAGTTCGCCGCCAATAATGTAGAGAAAATATTAAGCGCATACATTTTTCATATTAACAATTTTTATTTTCTAATACAAAAATATTTTTTGTTTGACTCCAGCAATAAGGTGGAGCTCTGTTCCAGAACCTGCAAGAATGTGAAAATGTTACGGCTCTATCTAATTTTTCTTTGTGATAAACTTGCAAAACTAGTAGATTCCTGCAGGTTCTACGATAATTAATATTTTCAATGCTTGGAAACATTGATATGTCAAAAAAATTAATTTTTTTCAAAAATAAATAGATTTTTATAAATTTTCTTATACGACGCCAATCTGAGGTTGTTATGCATTTTTCAAGAATTTGTACAAATTTAAATAATTTCTCATTCGACATTTTCAATTACAAAATTGGTTTGACAGTTCAGCAGCTGTGTCGACGCGTCTACATATATTCTTCTACCATGACTGTGTAGATGAGTGAAAACAAGAATAAAACTGAAATATACTCTGCTGCATGACGCATGACGGAATAATACAAAACTCATTGCAAACATTACCCTGTATATTTACCCCTTACAAATAATGCAAAAATTAATAAAAAGCTAATTTCATGACTTTTTATTTATTTATTATGTCTGTCATAGTAAACGGTAAAACAAAATATTCAAAATGACAACTCTAAATGTACCAGTCATCATTTCGCATAGCAAACATTTGAAAACGTTACCCGGCCATTCGTTCGCAAACGATACATGACATTAATATGCCTAGCCATGACTTCAAGCTTTTTATGTACTTGCACCCATGGTACAATGAATACAAGGTAGGCTAACTTTGAAAAAATTGCAAGTATAGAGGTCTACCTGTTTGGCTTGTAATGTCAGAATTACTATCAAAACATTAAAAAGGCAAACAACTTGTTGCATTGATTTTGAATAAATAATTTAAAACCGCGAAAACTGAATGAAAGGTCAAAATTTCTTTTCAAAATCATGTTCTATATATCTCTTATGGTTTATTTCGCGACAAAAATTGTAGTTTTTGTCGATGCATACGTCGCAATAAGCATTTTGAAAACACCCGAATTTGAATATTTTCTGAACAATTTTTTTATTATTGAAAAGAATACACACACATAAACAAATGAAGTTGACATATTAAACCAGAAAAATAAAAAAATTAAAATCATATAGTAGTTCTGCCCTACCTTCAATTCATTGTACCATGCTTGCACCCATGGTACAATGATATCAAGGTAGGGCTATGATACCATATGATTTCAATTTTTTTATTTTCTTGGCTTAATATGCCATCTTTATTTGTTTATGTATGTGTTTTCTTTTCAATAACAAAAAAATTGTTCAGAAAACATTCAAATTCGGATGTTTTCAAAATGTTTATTTTATCGTATGCATCGACAAAATCTAGAGTTTTTGTAGCGGAATAATCCTTTAGAAATATATAGTACATGATTTTGAAAAGAAGTGTTGACCTTTCATTCAGTTATCGCGGTTTTCAATTATTTATTCAAAATAAATGCAACAAGTTGTTTGATTTTTTATTGTTTTGATACTAATTCTGACATTACAAGCCAAACAGGTAAACCTCTATACTTGCAATTTTTTCAAAGTTAACCTACCTTCTCTTCATTGTACCATGCTTGCACCATAATAGTATTAAGTGTAAATTTATTTTGAATTTTTGTTATACATATATATTTTTTAACAGGCAAACCAATCAACCTTTAATTTAGACTTTTCATTCATAATTTTACCAATCTGTCGGTAGTTCAAAAAATGAGTTAGAGAATCGCACTTCCGGCTATATAATGCTCCTTATGGAATTCAACTTTAAAAATACATTTTTTGAAATGTGAATTAAATTAAAACTTTTAATACTATAAAAATTAAATTTGTTTTCATCTCTGATTTTTCTGTCGTTGTTTTTTATATGTTTACATGAAAATACAAAATTTAAAGGAATTGATAGAAAGTTGGCAGTGCGAGCAATTTTTTCCCTTCACACTGAGACTTGCCGCAAGTAAACTTGTCTAATCTAAATTTGGCCTTAGTTAACCAACAGCTGTTATGACATGTTGCCTCTTCCACTTTCTATACATTTGGCGATTTCCCTCTTCTTACTTTCGCAGCTCTCTGTAATTAGTGTTGGTGTACAGAGCATACAGAAAACATAGCCTGCCGCCGCCAAAAAAAAATTGTTCACTACGTTGTCTGGTGACAGAGAAACTATATAAACATATTTTTAATTATTAAATGTTAGCGAAAAAATGAAAGAAAACAAAATAATTAAATTGGTTCACGTCGCGTGGCGTGAACGGTGGTCCGACTCGCAATGGGGTATTAACATTAAAAATGTAGGTATACAATTGTGCTGCTAATGCATTGTTTTATTTATAAATTCGGCTTGCTAAAATATACATTGAATATTGGCAGTTCCCTAAATAGTGCCATCGAAAGTTGGATTCTCTGTTTTTGCCAGTGCCAAAATTAATTGCCGCTGTTTCATGGTCAAGTTACGTGGTATGTGAATTTTAACAATAACTATATGGTCTCCAATACCATCGCAACGGCTTCGTATGCCTTTACCTTTTAAAGTGATCCTTGTATGGGACTCAGTGCCTGGTTCAATGTTCATGTCCAAATTCTCATAAATACCACGAACCTTAACAGTGGCGCCAAGAATAGCTTCCGTTAGATTGATGTATTTTTCGGTAATTACATTATTTCCAATACGTTGATAATAGTTTGATTCCTGAACATGTATTCTATAGTGGAGTCGTTGTCCATTTTTACTGTTCTCAACGGACATAACGTCCCCGGTTTTTACTCCAGCTGGTATGTGGATTGTTATTCTATTCGATTCCTGCACAAATCCACGACATTCACACAGATCACATTGATTACGATTCACAAAGCGTTTCCCATTACACTGATCGCATACAGAGACGGCCGTGTATGTGGCGGTTTTTTTCTTCAATTGTCCATTTCCATTGCATTTACGACATGGTTCTACACTAGTTCTTCCAGCCATTCGCAGTGAATTGCCATTGCATTGTGGGCATTTGACCAAATATTTCAGATCAACAATTCTCTTAACGCCGTGCACCGACTCGAGAAATGTAATGTCCAATTTTTGTTCGGAATTTACCATGTTACGGATATCTGTATGAAAAAGAAGGCAATTAAGAAGGAAACATAGCATAAGAAAATATATAAATATTACCATCATTTATTGTGGAAGGAATTGTTGGTGAATTCTCTTTTTGTTTTGCCAATTCTTTAAAATTTGTCAAAACATTTGGTATTTTTATTGTGTACTCCCTGCCTTGGCATTTAGCATTTACATTGTTTAGAAATTGTTCCTCGTTTTGAACTTGACCTAATTGATCGTATTCCAGGCGCTTGCTTTCATCGGTCAAAATGTGATATGCATTTGATATTTCCTCAAATCGTTTCGAAATTTGTTCATTGTTATTGAAATTTGATGAATCAGGATGAAAACGTTTAGCCTGCGCATAGTAGGCAGCTTTGATCTCCTGCATTGTTGCTTGTCTACGAAGACCAAGAACCTTGTAGTAGTAGTCTTTGGGAAGTTGTTTCTGCTGTTTCGACTCGGTAATCAATTCTGAATTTTTTTGTCCATTTATACGGAGCTTCTCATTGCGACGATCGGGATAATAAATCACCTTATCGGTTTTAAACTGATAGGCTGCAGTTGCGAAGGTCCCGCTTTGATAATGACCAAAATTTTGCATTAAACAAGAATATTTATATGATTTTATTAAATGTTTCATGTTTTAATATACGACGACTCAATGATGTGACTCAAAGCAACTAAAGGAAGGAATTTGAAATATTACAAAATATGCAAAAAGTCTGTCTGGGTACTTTTGAAAAATGAACAATTGGAAATAGAAATTTAAAATAACCAATTTTTAAATTTATAATCCATATTTACAGGTAATACCACGAGGTGTCAGCGGAGATGTTTATAATTTATCAGATTGTTTACTCCAACAAGCCCTGATTGGTTCCACAGCCAATCCGGTAAGTAATACCTATGCTCACATTGTTACAGTTTAATTAGTATAATTGTTATTTTTCAGATGGTTCTGAATTATTTAAAACATTCGCTATGTGCCCATCTGGTTTCATACGCCGCTGTCTTGAGGCGTATAGCGAAATATGAACATTTCGATCGAATTTACTGCTTGACTTCGTTGTTGGATTTTGTAGATTCCATTTTAGATGGGGTTTCGTGTCGGTAAGTTTACTGGCGGCTTGCATGCAGTCTATAGGTTGTAATATTTTATTTTTTCTATTTTTGTTTGCAGAACAAAGGCTGAGGAATCAATGTTGCCTGGCGCAATTGTTTCTTTTGTCGATTGGCTTATGCATATATTTGCAACTATTACCACCAGCTACGAAATGAATCGCGAACTAAGCGCTGAAAACTCCTATTTGCTTGATCAATGTTGCGCGGTTATTGAAAAGCTAGTTAAGAATCAATTTATACTAGCAATTCTATTTGTTGGAAGGCAAGAGGCTCCCGATAATTACAGTAAAATACGTGAAAACTATGCCACAATTAAGACATCATTGACAAATTCCAATTTTACGCCGCCCCACCCCGGCGTGGAGAAATATCTGCAAAAATTGGCGTACATAGATGTACATCATTTGGATATGAAAATTCTGGATGTCCACCAGGTGCCAGAACCAATTTCGTATTGTGTACAGCCCTTGCTGGCAGTTGAGGTATTACTGAATCCATGTAATGATGTATCATATTATGTAGCAGAAATGCAGATGTTGCAAAGACTAAAAAAGTTTTCCAATACCCGGCTGTTTTATGAAATTATTCGTGCTGGTTTTGTGTCGCTCAGCAGTGTGGTAACAAGTCACGACACTATCTGGGGGGCATTTATGTTTTTCAAGGTTCCCCAAATTATAAAGCAGCTGCATGCGCTTAACAGAGGTAAGAAGGAATCGATTAAGCGTTTATATAGAGTCTTATATTTTGTCTTATTGCAGCTTCTGTAGAACCAAACCCAACCGATTTTATTCCGGAGGTTGTTGAAGCCTTTGAAATGCTACTTGAAGATAATCTACTCTTAGATTTAATGGATTCAAAATGTTCTTGCAACATTATTGAGTATCTTCTCAATGATTGGGCCAAACAACATTTGGTCAACGAGGTTCATGTTAAGCATTTTGCAGCACAGCGAGATCAAGAGGCATCGTTGCTATTGCAAAAACGTGAATGGGGCAATCAAACACAATCCATAATTAATTTTATAATACGTGCCGAGGTTCCCTTGTCTGGTGTGTTAAAGACACTTAGCGCAGATTACAACAAGGTGCAGGAGGCATTGTTGGGTGTGCTATGCCAAGTCTTAGTTGGTGAGTAAATTACGAAAAACCTTGTTCTGGCCTTCATGATGTTTTCGTTAACTATATTTTAAATAGGAAATAGCTTTGATTTGATACTGGCAGTAGCAACTGTCGAAGGTCGTTTGAAGACGTTTGTTTCGCGGCTAATACAATGCAATGAAAACTCAAAACAAATTCCAGGCGAAATTGGAAAAGCATCCATTATTCGTTCCACATTGTTTGATGTTTCATTTTTAATCCTGACATCAATTGTCCAGACATACGGTTCACATGTTAGTATGGCGTTTTTTTTTTTTCAATTAATAAATTAGATATTACAATATGTATGTCGTGGTAGGTGGTTTTAACAGATAATGGTGACAGTTTCTTTGAGAAATGGGTGCGAGAGTGCATGTTCGAGCGAAACAAACCGAAAAACCATCGTAATATGTTGGCAATGTGTGATGATAATATTGTGGACGAGTTGTTATTGACCTTTAGCAAACCTGACACGCAGATGAAAAGTTCGTAAGTAATATATAATTTATATTCTTTAAAATTAAGCAAGGAACCCTGTTAAATTTGTTGAAATAATCTTTAAATATTCCAATGAAAATTCAATGTGTTGTTACGATTTTTAAAAATTGATTTAATGTTTGTTTTTGTAGAAACATAACCTGGAACGACATCTGTATCAATTTACCCGGCGTCATAAATCATGTCTTGATATCTTGGGAAAAAGACACTTTGTCTGCAGCCGATGTCAAGAATATATTGGATAATATTAAGAGACGCATGTTCTCGTTTTCAGTTTGTGCAACGGCGTACTTAAGGGCTTATATGCATTCCGTAAAAGACGTAAGCTTAAAAATAACTATATATGTGCATAACAAACACTGAATCACAATGATTTAATTCCTTATTATTTTTATACAGAAAGAACTTCTGAAGCCACTGAATATGATTCAGCAATTCCTTACTCCACCGTGTAATGAAGAAATGTCCTCACAAGAAAATGTCAAAGAACGTTTGGGTCTTTCATTTCAAATTATACGAAAAATGCAATATGATGCTCATCCTGCGGGCAGTCTTAAGTCTCGCAGTTTGACTTTAACACAAAATCTGGTTTCACGCAATCCTTTGGTGGATCAATATAAAGATGTCTGGAGTACAATAGCCGACAACGGTTGGGTATCACCAGGAGCAGCTCAGGTCCTGGAATCTCTTTTACATGCCGGTGGTCCTGCTTGGCTATCTTCTCAATTGGTTGAGGAAATGCTTAAATGTAAATATAAAAAGGTACAGTTGTAATATTCCCCTCCATCCATCTAAGCCAAGTCAACTCAGTTATTAATAATGTAGCCATGATGTAACCTTGATCAAAAGTTAATACCATATTTTTATTTTACATTTTTAAGGATATGATGACAACGTTAATCTAGCTATGATATAACCTTGATCAAAATTTAATGTCATGTTTTTATTTTACATTTTTAAGGATATGATGAAAACAATGGACATTGTATTTGCAATTTCCCATTTGGATATAGAGCGTATTACTGAGGCTTTGCTTACCAATGTCGTTCCGGCCATAATCAACAATCGCCAAGAGTAAATATATTTCAAATTCCTTTTTGACACAATATAATTTTCATTCTTCTCCTTAATGTCTTAGAGAGGACACCAACTTGCCCCACTCTTATGTATTGGCTAGATTATGTGTCTACTGCATTATATCGGCCTTGGAGACACGAAATCAAACAATGCAAAAGAAACGTTCTCGCTCTCATGATGGTGACGACCATGAGTTAAATAATGCAGCAAAGATGCGCAAAATTGCTCCAGACGGTTCAGACAATTCATGTTCCAATGATTTTCTCTCAGAAAATAATCTACTATTGGGATCATCCATAACAGCGATGCATGCAAACAATATGCGCGAAACGCCAACGCAATTGAGAGAACCTTTGCAATCGTCAATTCAATATATATTTAAAGTATTTCAACATTTTGTTGCCACCGATGAGCTGTCACCGAAAACATATTTTGTCTATCAGTTCATAACCCTGTTGGTAGAGTGCGGCAAAGATCGTGTCAAGCCCATTCTCAAGCTATTGCCGCCAAGTCTTATGCAGTGTCTTTTGAAGGCAATGGCGGCCGAAGACATACATGTGGGTTTGATTACAAGGTAGGTGGTAGTAATAAATACCAAGAGTTTCTTGTGTTAATAAATCTATTCTTTTCAGACTTTATGATTTGCGTGTGAATATAGGCCGTCAAGCAGCTGTCTCAGATTTATGTCTGTGGAGAAATATAAAATTAAAGCAACAAAGCATTCAATTATAGATGATCAATGTTTCATATGATTGCTTCAACATGTAATAAGATAAGATCAACATTTATATGCTTACAAGTCTTAGAGAGCTTGAAAAATAAAGTACATATGTAGAATAATTTTTTACCTCCTTGTAACAATGAGTGTTTTTACAGTTACTGGAAGTGGGATACATGGGTATTAGTCCCTTAATGGGGCTGTTTTGACGTCTGTTGTGATTGATCTGTGACTTTTTTCGATTATTTTCTGCCAATTTGACTCAAGACTTGCTGGGAGATGAAATTCACAATAAGCAGTAGTACACAATTATATGTTCATAATTCTTTTTTTTTATTTTGCGAAATATCTACTGAGTTATAAATATGTTTTTGTTTTTTTAACGTTACATTAATGAGTTGTTTTCGTTCTAATATTATGCTGTTTTGACGAAATTTCGTTACAATTTAATTTTCCAATTCTCCAAAGATCTCATTTATAAAACAAAAATAAGTTCAAATAAATTTTCATAATTATGTTTAAAACAAAGTGCATTTTTTTCTATTACAAGACGAAAGGAGCAGATTCTTAAAGAATTTTTTAAATTAAATCGCTACATGATAAATGGACAATTAACAAAATTGAAACTTTTAAGTTTAAGTAATAAAGGGGGAGTTGCATTTTATTATAAGCATTTTTATTGTTGGAAATGAAACGGGCGGGATGCTTGTTGTGAGTAATAAGAGTTGGTTGCTTTAATTGTTTTGAAATATTAAATTAATATAAAAGCGTCCACCAATTCCCAATAAAATGGCCAACAGGTAGACGCCATTTCTTAAAGTAAACACTTTTGTTTTTCTATATCACTTGAGGCAGCATTCGAAATATGTTTCTCCTACAAAGTTACCACGCATTGCTTTCGATACATTATGCTCAAATAGACGACGATTTGTTTGCAAAACATCAGCGGCTTCTTTATTTAATGGATCCTCGGGATTAGGTTCCTAGAAATGAATGCATATTCGTCAATAAAACTTTCAAATGTGTAAAATGGTGTAGACCTACCAAGAATAAATACTGTAAACCGTAGACAATAGAACTGATGGTCAATACTGGATTCCAGTCTTCACGAAGAATATTTAAACACACATTGCCTTCGAGATCAATGTTGGGGTGGTAGACTTGCGTTTCACACTTAACCTTTGGTGCTTCATGTGGATAGTTGGGGCCAACACGGAAATTAAACACAAATCGTCCACCTTTGTAAAAACCTTCATCGGGACAAATAATCAATTTGAAGTTGAGCAAATCATCGGGATCGGGAAATTCCATAGCACATGTTTTTGGCAGGGTAAGTTCATTTATGTCTAGAAAATATGAAAGAGACAGTTAGAAATGTTACAATTTATTTAGTTTACTAACGAAATCGCCTGTTATGAGACATCGATCTTCGTACTCTACCCTGTACAACAAAATCTCCTTTTGTTTATGAAAATTTTCATTGCTAGCCGGAATTTGGCCGAAGAATGAAAGGCGTTACTTATGGATAGATTTCCACACCTGCTACAAAAAAAAAAAAAACTACTCTTAACGAAAAAAATTTTGAACTTTTTAGATGACAACGCTGCCTCGGTTGTTCTTAGAAACCATGATGAACTTACGGAAATTTAGAAACACACATCTAGGTAATTGTGGACTTCCGTAGGAAAGCTGAAAATGTATACTATTAATTACTTCCTATAGAGATACATATGGTACAATTTTAAAAGTGGTCCGCGGTAGCCTTTTGCCTGACAAAGAAGGAAATCGGATTCATCGGAAATGTTAAAATTTACAGTAACTATTTACTCCATTGCTGCCATGATTGCTGCTTAGAGCACTATGTTGAAAGTTTTGGGATCCACATTAAATTAGCTTACAAAATATCTATTAACTTTTTTATAACCAAACAAAAAATCGGATAATCTATCCTAGAAACAGAAGTTTGGTGGTAGTCCACTACAAATTCTACAAAAACTGGCTGCAAATCACTAGTACGAAATGAAATTGTTTTGCAAATCTTAAAATACTTTTTATTTGCACATGCTAGTGTTACCTTTTTGTATGCGCAACTGGGCAGCAGATGCTTTCTTTTGCTGAGCTCCACTACGGCCAGTTTGATCGCCTTCTTTTTTCTGTTGTTTAAGGGAAAATAACTTAATCATCTTTGAACTTCAATTTGTAATCCAGATGAATAGTGTACAAAGTGATATATTGTTGTTGTCGAAACCCGTCGATGGGTGCCAAATTTTCCAAGACCTGTGTGTTGTATCGTTGTCGTCGTCTGCAGTGATTGACGGTGATGATGTTGTTGTTGATTTTCTTTTCTTTTTGCTGTCCGTATTTCCGTGTAGATTTTTTACAATGATTTGTGCTGCCCTTTTTCGCAATTTTCGAGGGACTTGAATTTATGTTAACATGCAGAAATTAATTATTAACAATATCCAAATAGGTGTTTAGTTGATGTTACAAATTTCGAAATATTGCAATTCCGTTCCTCCACTTATAGCTTCTTCCGAATTAAAATTATCTTTTCCCAAAGCAGGGATACATAAGTCGACTTTTGAGTGGTCGAACGATTGGCTTTTTGTCGCGAAAAAAATCAAAAAGGCAATATCATCTCTATGAATGCCAAAAATCGAGTTCATAGTTCAAAAAAATTAAATACATTTAATATGAAGTTGATATTTACTTACGAAAATGAAAAATTGATTTATGACCTCTACTGTATATCCCTATTACGAAAATAAAAAACCTACACAGTGCAAAATATCGCGGCACTTTTGTGATGGTTGGCAAAAAAGCTGAGTTGAGTTTCTATGTATTATACGTCATCGCTTGGAGGGAAGTGTTAGTTTAGCGTATAACGTAAAAATGGATATAAGCCGCACTGCCATGTTGAGAGTGTCGATGAGTTCATCGAAATTAGTTCATTATATGTGTACAAGTGTGATTGAATAGCGTGTTGGCATATCGTCACCTGAATGCAAATAATTAAAATATTACATAAAAATGTATTTCAGGTAAAAATACAAAAAATATATGTTTTACCAACAAGGTTTCATTTTACATAATTGCTACATAATTCCTTACATATTCGGACACAAAAAATTAGGATCAACCGTTGAGATTTTTTTGTATATTTGATTTATCTTTACTATTTTTTGAAACAAAAAATACCTCAAAAATTAATGAGACGTTGAGGTTTTTATAAAATGGAGTTTTATATTTAACCTTAAATTATATCGGCCTCAAAATTAAACAACATGACAAAAAACATTCATAAATGTCAAATTGCAGGTTCTTGAACAGAGCATATAAAAATGCTCATTGCAGAACTTATAGACAAGTAAAGGTAGTAAAGGTGTAATAACATAAGAAGCTTGAAGTAATGGCTAGGCATTTTTTGTGACATTTCATAAAGGGATTACAGGTAAGGAGGTATAACAGCTTCGCAAAACTACAGAAATACAGCCCTGAGGCTATGTCCGCTTCCTGTCAAATTTGCGTGCCACAAGTTATTTTCAATTACTCAATATTTATCCTCATTTTTAAAATCTGTCGAACAGCGGGAAAAATGAATGAAGTGCCTAGATTTTCTTTCAAAAATGTGATCTAAACAGTTCTATCTTTCAAATTCATGATAAAACTGCCGAATAGCTTTATTGCGCGTATCACAATTTATGCTAGGAACACAATTGGAGCGAACGACGAATTTCGCCCTACGCAGCGACAAAATGAGCCGCGAAAATTCGTCGTATGGAACACAATACCGACGAAATTATAAAACAGCTGATGAAGTTGTTTACTTTTTGCTCATTTGTTGACTACAATGAATTATACAAGAACACATAATTCTTTACGTTCTCTATTATAATTTCACTTATGTCCATCTTCTCTATTATAAATTCACTGATATCCATCTTCACTCAGGCGCAAGTACACAAATAAATAAACAAATTAATTATGTTAGTAACAGATAGTAGAGTGACCATAACAAATTTTAAAGTAAAAAGTAACTTTATTTACTAAAACACATAAAATTCGTACAAGTATGGCCACCTTGTACTATTTTGTTCGCCGGTCGCCGGCGTATGAAATAGAAATAAAGCTAATTGAGTTCGCGGCGACCGACGAAATTTTCGCCGGTGCCGTGATTGTGTGCACTTCCATATACACATATGTGTTTTATTTTTGACGACGAACATACGCCGCGAAAAAATTCGTCGTTCGCTCCAATTGTGTTCCTAGCATTACGCGTCCTCCAATCATTGATTTTGAAAATAATTTGTTTTTATTTTGAAAACAATAAATACATACACAAAATTGGCAGAAATCGGGCACACTTAGAAAAAAATTGTAATCAGCTGATAGCTTTACATTACCGATTTTCTCTTTATGCTATCGAAGAAAATTGCAAAACTAGTAGATTCTTGCAGGTACTAGAACAAAGCATATTTTTAAGTATTTTATTTTCCACAGATATTAGCTGGATAACTGCCCATAGGGACATGAACGGTTACATAACATCTTTTCTCTGACTATCAAACTATTCTTGATTTTCGAAACCTTCATTTATTTTGGATATTTATATTCCAAGATTAAATTTTATAGTTTGTAGCTGATGACATGTAAAAAGCAGTAAGAGAACAATATGGTTTCAATCCAAGCTTTGTAATTACATTGCAGTAGGATTATTCTGAGTCTGAGGCACAATACTTTAATTTGCAGATAAATTACTATTTTTAAATAAAAATTCAGTTACACATTCCAATGTTCGCCCCAACAACATCGATGATGTTCGATTTTTCAAATATCGATAAATATTTAGCACGTGAAACACATCAAAACAAAAACATTCTCTTTACAAAATTAGATTAAATAAAAATGAGTCAAGAGCCGGAAATTGCAAAGGATGCAGTCCTTAAAAAAAGTGAGGCCATAGCAGAAGGAACCCCGCAGGTCAAGGGTTATGATTTCAATGATGGTATTGATTATAGTAAATTATTTGAATCCTATGTTAATACCGGATTCCAGGCCACAAACTTGGGTTTGGCCATTAAGGAGATTAATAAAATGGTAAATAAACATATATAAAGATTTTTGTTCATTACTAATGTAAAGTCTATGTTTTATTAAAAGCTAGATTGCAGATCCCAGCCACTGACGGAAGAAGAACAAGATATTCATGAAACAGATGAATTTATTAAACGTAAACATAAATGTACGATTTTCTTGGGTTACACCTCAAATTTGGTATCATCGGGAATGAGGGAAACTTTGAGGTATTTGGTGGAACACAGTATGGTAGATTGCATCGTGGCGACAGCTGGTGGCGTCGAGGAAGATTTCATTAAGTGCCTGGCTCCAACATATATGGGTAAGTATTTAAGTTTATTGAAATATACATACCATCTCCATTGATAAATTCTTTAAAAACAGGGTCATTTGAATTGTCTGGAAGAGATTTGAGAGACCGTGGAATTAATCGTATTGGCAATTTGTTAGTTCCCAATGATAACTATTGCAAATTCGAAGATTGGCTAATGCCTCTGTTAGATGAAATGTTGGATGAACAAAAAACGAAAGGTACCGTTTGGTCACCATCACGCATAATTCATCGTTTAGGTGAACGAATAAATGATTCGTCATCGATTTACTATTGGGCTGCAAAAAATAAAATTCCTGTATTTTGTCCCGCCTTAACCGATGGCAGTCTAGGAGATATGATGTACTTCCATTCTTTTCGTAATCCCGGATTAGTTGTAGATATTTTATCCGATTTAAGACGACTCAATACAATGGCAGTAAAGGCTAAAAATTCGGGCATGATTATAATTGGTGGTGGTGTCATAAAACATCACATTTGTAATGCTAATCTAATGCGTAACGGTGCTGACTATTCAGTTTTTATTAATACCGCATCCGAATTTGATGGCAGTGATAGTGGTGCTCGGCCTGATGAGGCTATATCTTGGGGTAAAATCCGCAAAGATGCCAGTCCTGTAAAAGTATATGCAGAAGCTAGTTTGGTATTTCCTATTATAGTCGCAGAGACATTTGCCAAACGGAAATTTAATACAAACAAATAAGTGTTGAGCTTTAATAATATTAGTGAATAGAATTATGTGTGCTCTATATTATGATAAGAAATCGTAATAAAACTAAAAATTGACAATGTTAGAAATACCATAATATTGAACTTATTATTGTGTTGATATTAAGGATCAGATGGAATATCAAGTTGTTTGTGTTCCTTTACAGGGTGAGATGAAAAAACAGCAACCAACTTCAGAATGCTGTCATTTCTAAGCCACTCGTCCGACAGCTGTTAAAATTATTCCAGTGGCAGTACAAAAGTATTTTGGTGAGAAAAAAGTGTCTCGTACCATCGCTCGTTACCGTGATACTGGTAGCGTAGCCCTACGTCAAAGAAGTGGACGGAAGAAAACAGAAACGTCAGCAGAAATGATTCGAAAATTAAAGAAGCGTCTTGGTAAAATCCGCGTCGCAGTGGCCGAAAAATATCTCGTGAGCTGAACATATCGCAATATTCCATTCGGCAATTATTGAAAAATTCGGCACGTGCCACCCAAGAATGGTTACAAAATGAGTTTCCTCGCCTCATTTGCAGCGCACAATGGCCACCATAGTGCCACCAAGGTTGGCACTAAAAAATACCAAAGTGTCGATCACCTCAAGCAAGCGCTTCGCCGGGAATGAGCCAAAATACAACAGAGCAACATTCGGGCAGAGTGTGACAGTTTCATTGGCTGTTTGAAGACCACAATTCTTGCCAAAGATCACAAATTCGTTAAAATTTGTTTAACGTTTACTACCTCATATTGCTCCATCATATTGGTAGTTTTTTTTTTTTTTTTTCAATTTCACATATATCGTACATTTACCCATAAATTTCTTATGGAATGCTGTTGTGTGCAGGTTATAACATAGTCGGCCGCCCCACCACTGTATTTTCCGTACTCCATTAGCAATATCTATGAATTTGCTGTTCCCACTTGTATGACATTTTGGTTTTATATCAGTATAACAGTTTACAGCAGCATATAAATCAAACTGTTCTAAACTTTGCGAAATGAATATGGTACCCATGTGGATGCTTTGGAATCTGTTTAACATTTCTTGTCTGTAAAGTCAGCCTTTGCATGCGTGAGAGGACAATGAATGAATGGAATTTGTAGTAAGACTTTGCACATGAATAGCATTTTGCCGGCAAATTCCAATATAATTTACACAATAATACAACGTGATAAAAATTCAATGTACCTACCTATGTACAATAAATATGCGTGTTCTTGTATCTACAAACATATGTATCAGTTATGAACATATGTAGGTATGTACATAAGTGAATGTACCCATACAAACATGTGATTTACATTCTAATTTGGAAAATTGCATGTATATACATACTCATAGACATTCAATACTTATTTTATCAAACACTGATGGAATAGTTAATGTATACCAAGGTATAGTAATTTCGTTCGCCGTTTAAACTTTTTTATTAATTAGAAAAGATATTTAATAATTATATTTGGGATTCTTTTATAAATTGGAATAGGTGATGGTGAGTCGCTTATGTCTTCTACCAGATTTGAATTATCATTGGATGAACATAGAAGTGTAAAAATTAAGAAAAATAAAAAAACTAAAAAAAATTGCAACTCATCTAAAATAAGATGAAACGAATCAGTTGGTTTTGCAGACTGATAAGTACCATTAGCATTGGTTATTTATTTTAAGCAAGATCTGGACAATATCGACTACTTCCTTCACTTTATATGAAATGATTATTAGTAATAATTTTTGGGAAATGTAGAAATGTGAAAAGTGGGATATAGTGGACCGATGTATTCCACTTCATCTAATAATAATAAAACAAGTTAAAAAGTATCATTCGGTTTTTGCCGACGATGTATATTCTAGCTATTATTCGTTTATTTAAACATATTTTGGCATTCGTATTTATTATTCATCATGTTGTGTCTTTATGGGGGAGGTTCTGAAGGAGTTGGCCAATCCAAATTAAACATTACAACTTGCCATATTCAGACTATATCACTTGATATGATATATGTGATATTATTTAGGAAATTTTGAAATGTGCGTGAAGTGCCAGATATAGTGGATCGAAGTATTCCACTTCTTCTAACACAGATTAAAATATTGGTGTGTGCAAAATTTAAAGGAAATCGAACATTTATTTTCAATTTTATGCGAATAATTGCAAAACAAAATTTTAAATTTTTGTGGGGGAGGAGGTATCGGAGGGAGTGGGCAAAAAAATTCATTCACATCAGATCTCTTGTTGAGGGAAATGATATACCAAGTTATGAGAGATTTAAATATTTAAAATTGTGATTGTTTGTGGGGGAGGTACCATTTATCATCTTCACATCATATTTTGTGTTAGTAGAAACATTGGGATGTGTGGAATTTTAAAAGAATCGGATGTTTATTTCGTATTTTATGAGAGATATAATTTTGACCCGTTGTGAGAGAGGTACCAGAAGATTTGGTCCGATCTCTACCTTTTAACCTTAACCTCTTTATAACAGATCTTGCATTGATGTAAATATTGAGGTGTACCAAGTCTGAATAGAATTATTTGTTAATTTAGCGTTTTACGCACTTTATGGTTATTCCAAATGTTAATGCCTTTATGGGGGAGGTACCAGAAGCAGTGCGCCGATGTATACCATCTTCACAGCACATCTTGTGTTAGTGGAAATTATGATATGTGCGAAATTTGAAGAGAACCAGATGTTTATTTCTGATTTTATGCTCGTTTTGGTTGTTCAAAATTTTGACCCTTTGTGGGGGCGGTACCAGAAGGAATAGTCCGATCTCTACCATCCTTATAACAGATCTTGTGCTAATAAAAATATTCAGATGTGCCAAGTCTGAATGGAATCGGATGTTAATTTTGCGTCCAATAACCTTCGTGGATATTCAACATTTTGACCCTTCGTGGGGGGAGGTACCAGAAGGAGTGGACCGATTTATTCCATCTTCACACCATACCTTGGATTAAAAAATATATTTACACCGGAGCTAGAACTTATGCCTTATTGCATGTTTAAATTTGAGCTTAGAACCTGGACCAAGCTCTTTAATTATGAATTATTTGAAGCATTGAATTGATAATTTAAATCTGCAGAATTTGGTGTGTGTAAAGATGCATACGAATAATATAAACATCCAATTTATACAACCGCATTCACACTGTGTTTTGTTAACGACATAACGAACAAGTTGCACCGCCAAACCTACCCAATTCACCCCAGAAGATCTCTGGTTACAGCCCATTAAGGTAGCCGAATTTTTAAAACTGGAGCTCAAACCAGATTAGCAGCATCTAAACATCTGCATGTATTACTGCTGCAACAACAACAACTAAAAAGGTGGAGATTTTACAAAATTTGATTGTATATTTCAAAGGAAAACTCTGAAAAAAATATAAATATGTTGAAAAGAGGAAAACGACTACTATCCCCCCGGAACCCTCTCAAAAACAATATGCCACATCAAACTACTTTCTCTAGCCTTCAACATTTTGATGACAACGTTGTTTATGATGCTGATGACAAACATGACATAAATTAAATAGAAATGGTTTAAGACATTGCACATCCAGTTGCAGTCTCGTTCTGCATTCTTGTTCCTTCGTAGATTTTACTGTGAAAAATCTTCAGTGATGTTAGTGGACATTTACGTTACGCTGTGTGTTGTTAGTCAGTCAGTTATGTTGTTGAGATCAGTTTATTAGAAGTAATGAGGAAAAGAAATGTGTATGTACATATAATGGCGTATGACACAAATTTCAAAGTTGTAGACATTTGCATAAACATTAAGTGTCCTCACAGTTAATTACAATGTTGATTTGAGTGTTTATATAAATTAACTATTAACACCCCTTCTTAATATTACAAATATTATTTAAAATTAATTTATATAAGCTCAAAAGATATGTATGTATATAAAAATAACGAATTAATCTAAATTACATAATCCAATCAGTATTCGAAATTTACATATGTTAACCTTCTGTAAAGGCTTGGTTAGAATGTCTGCTAACATAGACTTTGTTGGACAATAATTAAATAATACGCTATTCGATCTATACAAGTCGCGAACAAAGTAAAACTTAACATCTATATGCTTGCTTCTAGGGCTTATTTTCTCATCTTGAAGTATCTTGAGGCAACTCTGGTTGTCTTCAAAAATGACCGGACTGGATATGTTGATTTCAAATTCCTTCATTAATTGCATAATCCATAAGAGTTCCTGAGATGCTTCAGCAAGAGCCACATATTCTGCCTCGGTAGATGATAAAGTTACATTTGCTTGCTTTCGACTAGCATAACTGATGACAGCATCACCAAGCTTAAAAATGAACCCACTTGTAGATTTTCGGTCATTGATGTCGCCTGCCCAATCAGCATCAGCAAAGCCGTTCAACTCCAATTCACTCTTAGATCCAACGAGCAATTTCAAGTCTTTAGTCCCTTTTAGATATTTTAGAACCCTTTTGACTTCAGTCCAATCTCTTTCATTCGGGCAAGTAATTTTCCGAGATAATATTGAAACGGCAAATGCAATATCTGGACGTGTATTGTTAGAGATATACAGCAGTGATCCGATAGCCTTCCGGTATAAGATATTGTTTTCAAGCAAATTATTCGTAGTTTCCTTCAAATATCCAGGATCCATGGGTATTGAAGAAATCTTAACATCTTGAAGATCAAACTCATTTAATATTTTTTCAATGTAACGTTCTTGTGACAAATAATATAAACCATTATTGTAGCTCACTTCTATCCCCAAATAGAGTCTTAAATCACCCAATTCCGTTATTGCAAAGTGGGATTTCAGAATACGTAAAACATCTTCAATTTGCTCATCAGTCTTAGATGCAACAATAATGTCATCGACGTAAATCAGAACGTATGTGATTGAGTTCGTATCACTTTTAACATATAAACAGGGTTCAGCCTTTCCCCTTCTGAATCCAGAATCAATTAGGATTTTGTTGATACGAAGATTCCAACATCTTGCCGACTGTTTCAGCCCATAGAGGCTTCGGTTTAATTTACAAACATAATTTTCTTTTCCAGGTATAATAAAACCTTCAGGTTGTTTCAAATATATATCGGTGTCCAAATCACCAT